TATTATCTTTTACGACGGTATCAAATGTCATCGTTATCCAACATGTAAACTCTGCAAACATCCATCCATAAACTTTCGTATTTGTATTAGTGAGATAATATTTTAAAGCTAATTTACATTAAAAAGCTAAAAAAGACCTATTAAAGACATGTGACGTAAACACACAAATCTCATTGTTACACTGAAAGGAAAACAAAAGACGACTTAACGAATTCTAATTTTCAGACACAGCGGAAATAATTTCTTTGAAAAATCGAAAACTTAGACTTCAAATAAATTTAGACTTTATTTACTAAGAGTCAAAGCTCCAAATAGCGTGTATCGTATCGAGGAACAATGAGCAACGTGCCCCCATTTTTTGTTGTAGAAAGAAAAAAAGGAAAAAATATTTGGATACTTCGACACGGGCTGGATTCTTGGCCCTTGTTGATTAAATTTGTACTTTATTGCAATACAGTAGAGTTTATTTTCGATGGTGTTACTCGGCGTGTCCGTAAGCGCCTTTTTATTTGGTAATTTGCGCCTCGTGGCTTCACCTGCGATTATTCCTTTTAACTTCGAAGACAAAACGTCGACTTGAGACAGCAAAATAAGGGTTTATTAGTGAAACGATTTTTTAGTTTTATTTGCTTATTAAATTGTAGGGAGTCCCTACTGTTGGTAAAAAAATGTTCATTTATTTATAACGACCGAGTTTCTAAGTCACAAGGATATTATGACAGTCTGTTCCATCCAATTAACTTCCATCTAACGGTAAACATATTAAACCTTTATTGACAGATATTTAGATCCTATACAAGATTCATACAAAAAATCTAAACACTTTATTTAAAGACGATAAACTCAAAAATAACTACTAGAAATTAAACTATTATGTTTACATTTAACTACCTTAATATTAATTAAGGTTATAGGCTATTTAACATCACGCTTTAACATTTAGTAACTAGGCAGAAAGATAAAGAGACAACTGCTATATTAACAAAAAAGATAATTTGCCTTTTAAATTAGATGACAACCATAAAACTGGTAATCTAGGCTACTCTATAATCATGAAAAGACATAACGTTTCAGTCTAAAATTAGCTTGATTTATGACCAATTTGGTGTGTATCAAAGCCCAAGGTCATCTAGGAGAGCCTTTCTGTACGCAACGCTTACGGCCGCTTTTTTGTGTCGACGTCAAGAATGATTGATGTGATCGGCCGTTGCTCTATCCACGGCCTAAAATCATAAATTAAATGCGACCCTAACGATATGTGCTGGGCAAAATTTGGCTTTTATATTAGACTTATCAGGTGACCCTTGTGCTGAAAATGCTGTGTAACATATTTACCGTTTATGACAAAAAAATGGGATCCACCTGCAAGCATTACCTTTCGGATAAAAAAAGAATTATCCAAATCGGTCCACTAGCGGCTGAGTTATGCCGTAAAAAAAATAAAATAAAAAAAAAACATATCGACGAATTGAGTACCTCCTTCTTTTGGGAAGTCGGACAAAATATCATATTTGCTTTGCAATAAACAGAGATAGATAAACGTGTAGAAACTCAAAGATAATTCGTCCTTTGCAGCTGATTAACAGTTTGAACAATGTACAAGTCCAAAGGTTTAAATGTGGCATTTGAAACGAACCAGGCGCATATTAAATAAAAGTGAAATTTAATTAAGCCGGCTACACACCTTTAGATTGTAGAAGCAAAATTTGTACCGTCAGTTAAACTGTACATTAAAGGTAGTGTGTTGCGAGCATTAGAAAACACGCAAACTCATTAAACTAAAATCTAATCTCATTATAACCTTAAAATACAAAATTAATAAATTAATTTTCCATTTGATATCGTATTTAATTAGATATGAAGCATTTATATTTGTGAGAGGGAACGGAGCGTAAGGAGCATTACCTTTCTTTCAACTCTGTTTTTCATTAACCAAATTACTTAGCTAGCGCCGTTTTAGCATAAATTTGCATATCGAAGTCTAGTGTACTCCCGTCGGTAAATATTGACTTATTAAATATTAACAAGCCGGCTAATGTGCCTTCTTGACACCAGCAGTTCACTATTTTGATAATAAAACATTTACACAACAATCTTAAAGAATTTATGCTGGGTTTCTTAACTTTCCTTATATTTTACCACCAGCTGTTACCTGTGACTCCGTCCGCGTGGTATTATAAAAAGAAATATATATATATATAGCCTTTGTGTTCCTCGAAACTATCTACTAAATCTGTGCCAAATTCCATCAAGATAGGTTCAGCAGTTTAGGCTACAAACTCTAACAAACATCCATCCATCCATCTAAACTTTCGCATTTATAACATTAGTAAGATTAGTAAGATGGAGGATTTTCTGCATCTAAAAACAATAAAAACACCCGCATCCCAGGTCCCTGAGAAATATATGTCAGGGGAGCGACGAGAGCGGTAGAAGCCGCCATAAGAAAAAACATCCATCAATCCATCTAAAACTACGCATTTATAAAATTAGTAAGATTAGTAAGTTTACCTAATGATCCATTAGTGTTTGGTTGACCTATGTTTCAGCAGAGTCAAAATCAAGTTACGTAGTTCGGAAACGCATTACATGAAATTATCGAAACAAGAACACTAACGAATGGTTAAAAGTAGCTGGGAAACCGCCTATAAATCTTCTTCTTTTTTATGAAATAAGATTAATAAATAAATGACAGGTTTAATTGTGATATATTAAAGAACGTATTATAAGACAAACTAAGTAACTACCAGACCAAGTATTCTTGTTCTATATGTTCTTTTTGACGGACTTCCCAAAAGAAGGAGGTGCTCAAGTCTTTCTGATTTTTTTTATGTGTGTTACGGCATAACTCCGCCGCTAGTGGACCGATTTTGATAATTCTTTTTTTATCCGAAAGGTAATGCTTGCAGGTGGGTCCCATTTTTCTAAAAAAACAACACCAAAGATCTTCGTCCTCATCCAAATCTATCATCATCGTGTTGTTTTGTGTTTTAATTTTTAAAGAGATTTGATGAATTTATGCAGTTAATGAACATTACCTTACTGTTAAGCTAACTAAGAACTAAGTCTTAGAAGAGTTAAGCCAATTAGAATAATGACAATTCTAGTTACGCTAATTTACAAATAAGATTGATTAAATTTCCAGTCGAAAGATTGAGAATAGTACGTAATATTGCTAAAGCTATGAGCTAAAACGATGTACCAAATATCAAAATGTATCGCACAACAAACCAGAACGACGTTCACATTTCTCTGTTCAAACAGAACATAATACTGCGTCGCCTGAACGCAGAAATTGTGCGATATTTGGACAATGTTAATTTAGGTGGGCGATTAGAGACGGTACGGAATGCTGTACAAGCGTTGACAATATTAAAGGTTTGTTGTAAATTCATTTCCATACTATTGTTGTGCCATACTAATGTGGAGTTGCAGTTAGAATTTCAAGTTTTCAATGACTGGATACCGTAGAGCATTTTCCTTATTAATCATGATAAATTCAAGTCAATTCCAAGCATTTTAACATTAACTAGTTATGGAATAACTAGCTTTCGCCCGCGATTCCGTCCGCGTGGAATTTAAAAAAAAAACAAAGGTGAGTAGCCTATGTGTTCTTCCTGACTATCCTCTACATCTTTACCAAATTTCAACAAAATCCGTTCAGCCGTTTAGGCTACAAAATCTTACAAACATCCATCCATCTAAACTTTCGCATTTATAATATTGAGTAAGTATGAAGTATGATAATAACAATGTTCCTTTAACTAAATTTTTTGTAAGTTTTGGAAGAACTAGCTTTCGTCCGCGACTTCGTCCTCGTGGAGTTAAAATAAAGTGAGTAGCCTATGTGTTCTTATACACTATCCTTTACATCTATACCAAATTTCATCAGAATCCGTTAAGCTGTTTAGGCTACACACTCTTAACAAACATCCATCCATCTAGACTTTCGCATTTATAATATCTGTATGATAGAAAAATTGAAATGCCTTTAGGAATGTATTTATACAACGCATTAATACAAAATTATAAAATGTTCTTAATTATACTAAACGACGTAATAAATAATATTTTTAAAGTCACGTAATTACGTTCGTAATGAAGGCAGATGAGCCTTGCATGTAAATTGAATGGGCAATCGTTCACTTGAATGGCTGTATTGAAAAATGTAGGTCATGTACCGTGGTAGTGTCGTGGCGAGTACGTAAATGGTTAACCGTCGAATCCAATAATCGATCTTTAAAATCGATCTGAAGATTGTTTTATATATTTAGAGGGATTGATGGAGGAAATACATTTATATATTTGGCTCTACACTTACTCTTCCTCTTATACAGTAAATATAATTACGCTCTAAATTATGATGTTTCTCAGTAGTTATTGTGGTAGATGGATTATATTCTAGATCGATTGTTGGGTTTAAATTGAATAGATAAGTGCAAATTGGAAAATCGTAAACTCGCCAGCATTTACTTATTGTAAATATCATTAATTCGTATTTCTTTTGTTTATTTTACAAAAAACTAAAACTTTAGACTCTTGTCCGCGTATTGAAATTGAAGTATTCCCTTTGTCTACGTTCACATTTCGATTTCAATGAAAATGTCGCTTTTGAACGTCACCAGGAAGAATTTAAAGTGATAGTAAACTTTTGTTACATTTTAAATTACAATTTCGACTTTTGGAAACTATTTTCAACGCGAACTACATATAGGGGTTTTAAGGCGCCAATATCTTAAAATAATAAAGGAGCTTTTAATAAAGTATACAATCGTCATAAAAAGCCTTAGTTGTATCCATAATAATGTAGTATACCCGTTAAGAAGATGATCTAATGGCGAGCAAAACCTTTGGCTTGCAAGTGGATCGGGTACCACATGAGAGGTACTACGAGATCAGTCAACATTAATACTTCGATCTTCAAATTGGTAGATAGTTACATCTAGATCTAATTACATTTCATATAGGATGATTGTGAGATACCCATTTCGTCTACTTACTTGCGTTGAGAGGTACGGCGGGCGTGCGCGCGTGGTATGCGCCGGCGCCGCCCGCGTACCCCGCGTGCCGGCCGTACCCCGCCAGCGCGGCGGCCCCCCGCCCCGCGCGTCCCCCGCGGCCCTGCAGCGTGCCGCCTCCCCCCCGCCTCACACACGCCCCTGCCGCGCGCACATCACTACACACACTATGTCGCGAAATTGAACTAGCTAAGCGGACACACTGCTCTACAAGATCCGATCCTGTAACAAAGAAAAAACAACTTCAGTACTCATGCTAATCTAGATCAGAACAAAATTTAATCTATACATATAATAAAATAAGAGTATCTGTTTGTATACAGACGTATTTACATGTCACATGTATACTATACAGAAAATATACAAATAAATACGAGTCGCATAAACACGCAAAACGGCGAACACCAGCAGTGGAAAGCGCCAGCAAATAATTTAGCAAATGCTCTTAACACTTTCAGTCTCAGTAAAGCTTTTAAAACAAAGTTTACCTTAGCGGCCGCGAGACGTTGACAATAAATCGACCCAGATGTTGCTAGCAATGTTGAGAGCCAAAAATAACCGTCAGTGTATCCAATATCAAAGCCTTAAGACGTTATTTAAAATACCTTTCAGGTATGACTTGACATAGACACGCAAAGCCTAAATGTAAATACGTTTAATTCGATTTTCAAACTGTATATGAACGTGTTTCATTTGTTTGTATTTAAATTAACTAATTGTGAATATAAAATGTACACGTATGTATACGTATGTATACATTTTCTTATCAACAAGTGTTAACCTAAAAGTGTAAGTAATTTATTTGTTGTTACAAGTTACAAAGTTAGTTAAATATTAAATTACAAGTCAATAGTAGAGTTTTTTTTTTATTAACATAAATTACCTTATTTACGATACAGACAAGGAAGTCTTTAAAATATTATACTAAGAAATTATTAAAAAGACACTCTGTATTATAAATATTTTCAGTATTTATGCCACATTCAAATTCGTTTATATGACAACAGTATAACAGAAAACAAATAAGCCAAGCGACATCTGGTGTCTACGACCGCCATCAAACTTGCACGCTGTACCGCTACGCGCTACGAGACTTTCTACGTGGCCGCTACGAGACTGCTACGTGGTCGCTACGAAAATTGCCGCATATCTCACTGAATAATTTTATATAAACTGTAAACTATCGAACCCCAGTGAATATTGGCAGAGATTCAACAACTTATATGATTTTTAACAGCTACTATTTCTAAGAATATTTTTACTTTTAATATTAAAACTACAATATAAGATACAATATGTTACACTGACGGTTAATATTTTGTCTACACACGCACGACTGTTCAGTTAAAACTATTAAAGCGGACGCACACCTGAAACTATCGCACAACTGTTGTGCGATTGTCGATTGTTTTGCAGCCAATTTTTTTTTTTATAACATAAGGTGGCAAACGAGCAAGCGGCCACCTCAATCCGAAGCGACCGCTGCCCATAGACATACGCAATTGCAGATGCGTTGCCTACCCTTATCCGACGGAGGAGGAGACGCACATAAAAAGGACATTTCCCCTTCCTATGCATATCCTCCACCGTGAAATCCACTTCCTCTTCTTATAAGAAAAGGGTGGTAAAGAGAAAGGGACCAAAATTAGGCCTCCGGCACCACACTCATCAGACGAAACACGGAATTGCTTCCATTTCACGCCTGTCTTCTGTGTGGTCGTGGTATTACACCGGGCGTGCCGGCCCATTCGTGCTAAGGTGTTAAAGCGGGCACTACCACTGTTCAACTGTTTAGTTGCACAACTAAAATTCGAGTAGTGTGCACCCATATAAGCTCATAGGAATCAAAGCGAGACTAAACAGTTGTGCGACAGTTTAGTCAAAGGTGTGCACTCTTAGGCTGATTTTAAGCATAGATTCAATATTGATTTACACTAAGAGACTGCTTCACTAACTTAACACTCTCAATACGGCAGTTAGTGCTTAAATACAATCTGGGACACTGTATACGAGCAACAATAAAATGCATATTAGATAAAGAATTTGTGGCACAAACGTGACAGAAGGTGGTCGGCCTCGTAATATTATTCTACAGATTTATACGGGCCATAGTAAGCGTTATTACGACTCGTCTAGTTTACGGTCGGGATATGACTCGACCTAACAAAACTCAACAACGAAGCGAGAATAAGGAATTAAATTGAACATTGGTATCTAACAAAGAGTAACAAATTTTGTTGAAATGCCATTTACGTGTATTTTCTTCATTTAAAACTATCTATTGCTCACGACTTCGCCCGCGGGAAATTAAAAAATATAGCTTATGTTACTTTTTGATAACGTAGCTTTTTAATGGTGAAAGAATTTATGAAATCGGCCCAGTAGTTATTTCCATAAATACAAAAATTCAAATCTTTCCGCTTTATAACATTAGTATAGACAAACTAAATAAATCAACAAACGCATGTATCTTACGTAGATATGAATAAAACAAACGCAATTCAATTGCGATTTTTTTTTATTTAGCAGACCCGTGCTTGTATTTTGTAAGACCACCAAATAAGTATCGTAATTAGATATGAGGGAAATCCCTTTAATGTTAACATAACTTGATATCAATTATCTACATATACGATCTGGTAGACAGACCTATTTGAACACGTTTTTATCTATGTATTGACTATATGCAAAAGTGTTAACTAATGAACTAAATTATCAAAGTAATAAACTTCAATTTTTTATGTACAATACTATTTAATGGATATATTTTTTGTTTTCTAAATAACTATTAAAAAGAGAGATCAAATATTCCAACTTGAACAGTTTGGTAGAAATTAAATAAAAAGGGACAGTATTATGAAGAAAGAAAAAGGTCTCTCCGTCATAAAATATTCGGGCAGTTTTATTTAATGTCTATTAAAAAGGGGTCTAACTTTTCAAGTCTAGGCGCGTGATCGGCCTCACATTTAGCTTAAATCTTTCGTACTCTAAAACTTCCCTACTCCAAAGAAGTAATCTCAAAGAAGATTAAAACCTCTTTAAGAATAATAACCATCTTCAACATTAAGAATTACTGTGTTGTGGAATATATATTTTTTAAAATATACTTAAAATATAAAATTTTGAAAAAACTACTTGGAAAAAAAACTTCTTTTTCAAGTGAACAATCGTTTAAATTCTTTTTAAATGTTAATTAATACTTTTATTTTTTAATTCAAGAGTCTATTTATAGAGAGTTTATATAAATCACGTCATTCGCGGTGTGTTCTGTGGTCGAATGGTTTTTTTCCACAAGCCGATAATGAGTACGAGGTAAAAGTGGTTGTGGAACTTTTCATTTATACTCATGTCAATTTTATTTGCAGTTCAAACTGAATTGTATACATTACAAATACCTTATTTTTATATTTAGATTCCAACTGTTGCTCACAATTTTATCTGCGTTTAAAAAGTAGTAAGAATTATTGCCTATGTTTCAGGTAGCTTTAATGGTGAAAGAATTTTTCAAACTCGACATAGTATTTTTTGAATTACTTCAATGCATATAAAAATACGAATCATTCTTCTTATTAATATCTTATTTTAAAAATGTAGCCTATGTTACTTACAGATAAATTACCTTTCTAACAGCGATAGAATTTTTAAAATCGACCCAGTAGTTATCGATTTATTTCAATACATACAAAAGTACAACTATTTCTTCTTTATTATATTAGTATAGACTGAAGAAGTATAGGTATAGAGTATAGATATAGTAAAGTATTTCGACCAGGAATCGTTAAAACCAAAGACTGTTCGAGCCATAGAAAAAATATTTAATACTAGCTGTTACCGTGCGGCTTCACCCGTATGAAATTATGAAAATTGTATTTTATTGTTTACATTTGTCAAATTATCAATAGCAAATGTCAAACTGACATGACACGACAAGCCTTGGCAATCTTGTTTCCTTGATGTTGGCAACAACTTATGGTCTCTTTCCCACATTGGGGATTTTATCCAAAATATTTACCCCCTAAGTTTAATGGCGCGAAAACATATAGCCTAAAGCGTGACGCAAGTGTAGGGCTTTTTATTAAAAAAGAAATTATATAAAAATATGCTGTAATTGCTGACATCGTAGGCAACAAAGAGGTGTTTGTTTACGGTTTATTATAATAGTATAGATTATCATTAGTCTGTGAGTTCCAAAATTAGACAGTAAATAATTCAGCGTCATATATCTTAATATCACACATTACCATATGTTTTTTCTCTGAATAATAACTTATCATATCAAGATGTTTGTCACAGTTTATGCAAACATTGTCTTCCGGTGCAAATAGCTTCACAGCTGTTTATTACTCACACATATTCAACATACAATGTACAGAGAGATTTTCAACTATTAAAACAAATGAACAATGACATTTACATTTTTTTTCTTTAAAAAATATACAACAAAATAAAAAGGTTATAAGTGAAAAAATTCATTTTTGTAAAATTATTTTGTAGCTTTTTGTAAAATATATAAATGAAATTATTCTTTACTACAAAGTTACTAAATGTGACCGAAAAACTAAATAATAGATTAAATCTTTGGATTGTAAACCAAAGACTTGTCTTTGTCGGTTAGTTTTATTGCATAAAACAGTATATCTAATCTATCTAATATTTCTTAAATATCTCGTTATAGTAATAAATAATGTTAACATTAACTTACACAAGATAATTAACATACCAATAGTGAAATTTCATTCCGAACAAATCAATATGTCAGTTCACAACACAATTCAACCTGTGCAATCCGACAACACAAATAATCGCACAAACGCTCAATCGATTAGCATTTCATTATCGCCAACATTAACGCAATCAATTTATTTAATGGTTCACGTATTTCTTTTCTATAAATCCAAACATAAAGGAAATGTTAGTTCATAGGTGTATAACTATGTACACAATATATTTTATCTATATTTTTTAATCAAATCTAAACACGTCATTCATTATCACAAACACAATTTTTCACGAAATAGTCCGTTCTAAACTTTCGAATAAACACATTTTAATACTATT